TGATAACAGACAGGCCACGTAGACCCAAGTTGTTAAAGCGCAGGTCCACACGGCGCAAGCAGCCCGCATCCAGCAGCTGCAGCAAAGCCACAGTGTTGCGCATGGGCAGGTCCTCAGCCCGCAGGTCCCGGCAGCAGAGCCGCAGCGGACTACCTACGCTGCTTCGGAGTGCCTCCCGCAGGAACGCATACGAGGCCCGGTTCACCCGCAGGTCCACACGAACCTCCACAGGAATGGGGGCCAGCCCAGGCTCCGCAGTCCCGCCCTGCTGCTGTGCTATGCAGGTGCGGGCCACCGCTGCTGTGCAGTCCCACATGCTCATGGTGCCAGGGTCCTGCTCCACGCCATCGTCCAGGAGGCCCGTCATGTCCAGCACTCGCAGGGCATGCTTCCTGGGAGCATGGGTAGGCTGAAGCAGGAGACAAGGGAGCAGAGCCCACACCCACTCCCAGCCATCTTGGGACAGGAGCAACATGCCTGTTCCTGCACTGAGTCCTTGCAGTCGCCTGGAACCTCACAGGGGACACTCTCTGCACCCCCCCCCCCCCACCCCGGGCCCTCGGGGCCCTCGGGTGAGCCCATACCTGCAGAGAGGCTGTGTACCAGCCTCTGTCTCTGGGGTGTGGAGCCGGGCCGTCAGCCCCAGGATCACGGCCTGCATGCTTTCTGTACTGGGGCGCTCCTGCAGCAAGGCCCGGCTGCAGTGGGCACATTCCTGCAACAGCTGCTGGAAGCTGAGCAGTGGGAAGGGCCACGTGTGCACCAGCTCTCGAAGCACAACCGTCTTCTTGTCCATGAAGGCCACCTTGAACAGCAGGGGGAAGAGCTCTCGAGGCAGCAGGGGCAGGGCCTGGCAGGCAGCTGGCTGGCACTGGAGCACTTGCCGCGTGCTCAGGAACACAAGCGTGTGCATGGCGCTGGGCCAGGCAGGAAGCCACCTGCAGGGAAGGGCCCTTCAGCGGGGAGGACAGACCCCAGGCCACCACCCGGCCATAGCCTCCTCCATCACTGATAGTTAGCAAGCCCAGCGTGGCACTTGGTACAGCGCTGACACTCAGTGGAGGACCGTGGCACTGAAGAGCAAGTGCTAAGTGCCTAGCATGGGGCTAAGTGGAAACAGGGACAAGACCACCCCCCAGTTCCCTCCCTCCAGAAGCATGGGGCCTCTTTAGGGAAACGTAGCCATCAAACGGTACATAAATAGCACAGCATCAGACACGACCAGCTTGCCTGGATGTGCTTTAGACGGCTACTGCTCTGCAGGACCTCCCCCCTCCCCCCCACACACACCTGTACTTGAGGCCTCCCAGATTACAAAGCTGTTTATCAAGAGACTCTCTCTTCCTCAAAAGTAGAATAAAGCTCAGACCCTTCCCCCACCACACAAGCACTAGAGGAGGTAGGACACTCCTAGGGGGCTGGAAGCTGCATCACAATCCGCCTCCCCACCCTCCTCCAGCTCTTGCGGGTGGTCCTTGGAGAGGAACTGGAAGCACTGATGCAGCTTAAATACCAGCAAAGGTAAAAAGCGTTAGGACCCAGGGAACCTTGAGTCCAGACAGGCCTGACCCTCAGGTCTTAACTACTACCGTCCAGTAGTACTGCCAAGCACGGAGATCCCTGCAGATTCACAGAAAGAAAGCAAACCTCACCCACCAAGGTCCTTGCCACCTGTCTAAACGTCCTCTTTCCCCCCAGAGAGAACCACAGTGAGAGACCAACTCTCAAACCCATGGGATTCAGTAGGACCCAGGCCAGGAACTGCTCAGATGGATAGAGTCAGCAGCTGAATAGGCATCCCAGCTAACAAAGGGCATACAGTAAACGCCTGAGACTATGGAGCTCTTAGACATCACCTCTACTGTTGACTTCAGCAGCAGCAACAGTCAGGGGACTTACTTTGGGCCAAACACCTCATCCTCAAAACTGCTTCCCAGTCATACCCCTGGAAACAAATTAGAAAACTAAGATCTAAGCCTTGCCAGGCCAAGGTCACAGCCTGGGCGATGAGCTCGGGGAAGGGGGAGCAGCCTGGCCCCAGGGACCCTGCTCTTCCGGACCTCATGCACAACGTCAGTCCTCAGGGCACTGGTTCTTGAGAAGCCCCGAACGCCAACCCTCGGCCTTGCTCTGCCTGGAGACAGATCTCGCGAGGGCGAGTCATACCTCGCTGTGACAGGACAGACCAACCCAGCACCTGTCACGAGAGGAAACGAAAGCAGCCAGTGTGGTCACCGTGGGAGGAGCCTCTGTGCAGGGGCCGCCGCCCCCTCCCGCCGGCCCGCGGCTCCCGGCGTCTCCCCGAAGACGCCCCCGCCCGGCTCCTCCCGGCCTCGAGCCGCGGGAGACCCTCAACGCGACGCCCTCCGCCTCCCGGGCGTGATGTGCCCCTCGAAGCCGGTGCGCCGTCCCCCCGGGGCCCGAGGTCGCTCTGCCCGACGCAGGGCTCCAGGTTCTTCCCCCACACCCCGCGGACGAACCGTCCGGTTCCCGCTCCCGCCTCCCGGGCAGCGCCGCCCCAAGCGCCCGTGCCTGCTTCGTGCGGCCAGGCAGGGCCGGGGGCGCACGCCGCCCCGCTACATCTCCGGCCGGTGGCCCGCGCTCACCAGCCCCACAGCCGCTGCCACCGCCACCGGCCCCGCCTCACCGTCCGCGGCGCCCCGCCCAGCGCCTCCGCGCGCCGCGATGACGTAGACGCCACCCATTGGCCGCCCCACTAGGGTCCCACTGATTGGCTGTCCCGGAGGCGGCTGCCGAGCCGCCCCGCCTCCGACCCTGCTGGGTGCCCCCATTGGCCGGCGGCCGGCGTCGCCCTCGCGGCGGGAGATTCATGGAGCCCGGGGCGCCGGGCCGCGCCCTGGAGCGGCTGCAGGACGTGCGGGAGCGGCTGCAGGATTGGGAGCGCGCGTTCCGGAGGCGGTGCGGGCGGCGGCCGGGCCAGGTGCGGGCTGCCCGGGGGCGGGGGGCTGAGGGTTCGGCCGCGGGCTGACGCGTTCCCGCCGCAGGAGGACGTGGAGGCGGCGCCGGAGGAGACCCGCGGTGAGCGCGCGGACGTGGGGAGGAAGGAGGGACGGGCGGGGAGGGAGCCCGGCGGCCCCCGATGACCCTTGACCCCATCCCCAGCGCTCTACCGGGAGTACCGCGCCCTGAAGGGGGCCCTGAGCCGGGCCGGCGGCGTCGGACCTCGTAGGCCCAAGCAGTCGCTTCTCGCGACGGCGGAGGAGGTACCCAGGCCTGGACGTCCTGGCCTGCGGGTCAGTCTCCTGGACGGCAGAGCCGGGAGGAGTCGTGATCAGGCCTCTGTGGGGCACAGAACGTCGGGGGAGGACCGGACCTCGGGGGGGAGGGGGGCTGGGAGGCTGGAGGAGGGCCCGGACCCCCACCCTCTCTTCCTGCAGAGGCTGGAGCCCAGCTGCTGGGGGCCGCACTTGAATCGGGCTGCGACCCAGAGTCCACGCTCTAGTCTTTCAGGGCCAAGGCCTGTGGGGTCTGTGCCAGACTATGGGAAGAGGCTTAAGGCCAACCTAAAGGCCACCCTGCAGGTGAGAGTTACCAGTAGGCCAAGTGGGCAGTGCGTCTGTCCTGGGTGCAGAGCTGGTGTCCGCCCAGGGGCAGGATCACCACGTGGCCTTTCTCGCCAACCCTTCCACACTTACGCACTTGGACTTATGTGGCCATATGTACCCTTCCAGCACTAATCAGGGTGAGGCTCCCGAGACGGGTTCCGAGCCAACCTCAGGCTTCTCACCTTGCCTGGTGCTTCCGGGTGGACATTCTGGGAGGTTTCAGAGTCTGTAGTACCAGCCCAGATACCTGAGTTCCTGCTTCCTGGTCCGTCTTCCCCCTCTCAGGCTGGGCCAGCCCTGGGCCGCATACCCCGGCCTCCACGAAGACCCTCGTCCAAGACGCCCTCCCCGGGGCCACCAGGTGCAGGGGCTGCCCCCATCTCTCCAGAAGAAGTCAGTGAGGTGCCCCTCCAGCCTCGTGGGCCCCAGCTGAGGCCAGGCCGCCTCCAGCAGCTACAGGCATCCCTGAGCCTACGACTGAGCTCCCTAGATCCTGACTGGCTACAGCGGTGTCACAATGGGGCCCCAGACTTCCTGGGGGCTGCCCAGGCCTGCCCGCCTAACCTGGGCGTAGAGGGGTCACAGCCTCTGACCTCAGGTGTCCCATCAGTCCTTGGTCATAGCACTGGCCCTGAGACTCAAGCCTTACAGACAGGTGGAGTTACAGGGAGCCCCCAACTCGGCAACAGTCGAGGCAAGAAGTGGAGATGCGGTAGGGAACCAGAAGGGAACCCTGCACAGGCCCAGCAGGACAGTGGCCAAGCAGGACCTCTGCCTCAAGAAGCTGAGGCTACGGGACATGCAGAAGATGGTCCAGGAGAACCCCTGTGGGTTCAGCCCCCCAGTGGCCCCACAGCCCCCAGGTACTACAGCTTCAGCTTCCCGGTAGGATCGCCTTGAGATGAGCCAGGGTGGGGCAGGCTTTGGGCATGGCCCGCTTGTACATCCTTTCTAGACGAGCTATCCAGAGCGGAGATAATTATGTACGACTCAACATGAAGCAGAAACGCTATGTGCGGGGCCCAGCACTCCGTGGCAGGCTGCTCCGGAAGCAGGTGAGGTGGTGGCAGGCACTCCCTTCATCCCTACCACCTTTTGCCTCTTGACCTTCTTTTGCGGCCCCCAGATGTGGAAGCAGAAGTGGCAGAAGAAAGGGGAGTGTTTTGGAGGTGGTCAGCCCAGAGCCACAGTCAGGAACTCTTGCTTCCGGTGTGGACAGCTAGGCCACTGGTCATCCCAGTGCCCCCAACCAGGTGAAACTTCTACTCTGGGTGATGGGTTCCTAACACTGTTCGGAGGAGACTTGTACTCTCAGGGAGGAGGGGGGGGAAGCACGTCTAGCTCGAACAAAGGAATCTAGCAGCTCCTTATACCTGCTGCAGAGCCTACTCCCGGCCCCCAGAAGAGCAGTGAGAACGGAGAGGATGTGCAGACCCAGCTCACCTTGAAGAAAGCAGTCCAGAGGACAGGCACTGCCAGCTGTCAGCTCCCTGGTGAATGAAGGGACGGGGGGCAGGCTGTAGTTACCTGTTTTTGCTAGAAAGATCCCAGTCTAGTCTGGAGTCCCACACCACCTTTTTGTGTCTGTTTCTAGTAAGTGAGAAAGATACAGAGCCCTCTGGGCCTGAGCTGTTGGTGACCATGGAGCAGTCTGTGCCCCAGGTGCACTGCCCACCCCACTATGTGCCACCACTCTACCCACCAGGGCCGTCGGGGCAGGTGGCAGGTGAGCGGAAGTCTACCAGCCCAGAGCCTTTACTGGGAGATGGGGGCGACTTGGGGCCATGCTGACCAACACCCCTGTCCCCAGAGACACCAGCTGAGGTATTCCAGGCCCTAGAGCAGCTGGGGCACCAAGCCTTCCGCCCTGGGCAGGAGCGTGTGGTCATGCGGATCCTTTCTGGTGAGCTTGGCTGCCGGGGGGATGAGGCAGGGCCAAGGCCTGGCCACGGAGTGGCACTACTGATCCTTGGTCCCACCAGGCATGTCCACGCTGCTGGTGTTGCCCACGGGTGCTGGCAAGTCCCTGTGCTACCAGCTCCCTGCGTTGCTTTACGCCCGGCGGAGCCCCTGCCTCACACTAGTCATCTCTCCCCTCCTGTCTCTCATGGACGACCAGGTACACCGACTGGAACCTTGGGCCCATGCAGAAGGCAGGAACCAGTGCCCACAGGTCCTCTGGCCCTTTTGGGCTGCTGCTTGTTACCTAATCAGAGCTGTAAAGAGCTCAGCTGTTCTCACCTCGTTGGCTATGTCCACAACCCCAGGCCTCATAGTGGCCCAAGGACAGCAGGGACGTGGCAGGTGGCCAGACGTGGGTCAACTCCTAGGAGGAGCGGCACTGGGGAGGGGGGACATCCCCAGTAGGGCCTGTCTGCTCCTGGCGCTTCTGAGCCAAGGCTCTGGGTGGCTCTGAATCCTTAGTCCTAGGCTCCACAGTCTGGGCTCGTTCTCCCTAGAGAGCCTGAGGCAGAGATGGTGGTCCCTGTCAGGCTGAGCAGCTGAGAGCCATTGGAGGGAGGGCCAAGGAAGGGTGGCTTGTAACTGGTCGTTCTCCCGTACCTGCAGGTATCTGGCCTGCCCCCGTGCCTGAAGGCAGCCTGCATACATTCAGGCATGACCAGGAAGCAGCGGGAGTCTGTCTTGAAGAAGGTGAGGGGCCTTACGTGGCAAGACGGGCAGGGGAGCAGATAGGCCCTTGGATGATGCTCCTGACCTTGCACCCTCAGGTTCAGGCGGCCCAGGTGCACGTGCTGATGCTGTCACCCGAGGCGCTGGTTGGGGCTGGGGCAGGGACCCCTGGCCGCCTCCCTCAGCTGCCTCCGGTCGCCTTTGCCTGTGTTGATGAGGCCCACTGCCTTTCCCAGTGGTCCCACAACTTCCGGCCCTGCTACCTGCGCGTCTGCAAGGTGAGTCTTATTCGGGGTATGAGTGAGCAGGCCAGGGAGGGCAGCTCGGGCATCTTCACCAGCTCCGCTCCCACACAGGTGCTGCGGGAACACACGGGCGTGCGCTGCTTCCTGGGCCTCACGGCCACGGCCACACGCAGCACCTCGAGAGATGTGGCCCGGCATCTAGGCGTAGCCGAGGAGCTTGTCCTCAGAGGGCCAGTCACCATCCCCACCAACCTGTACCTCTCTGTGTCCATGGACAGGGACCCAGACCAGGTAGGTGTACACACCTGGGCCAGGCAGAGGCACGGCCTCTGACAGCCCCCACTGACCACCATCACCCACCAGGCTTTGGTGACACTGCTGCGGAGTGATCGTTTCTGTGCTCTGAGCTCTGTCATCGTGTACTGCAATAGACGTGAGGACACAGAGCGTGTTGCCGCGCTGCTCCGCACCTGCCTGCCTGAGGCCCGGGACCTGGGGCCCAGAGGTGAGGTCAGCAGGGTTGTGCCCCACAGGAGCTGCCTCAGGAACACAGTCTACCCAACTGTCTGTGTCTTCCCCGCAGGCCAGGCCCCCAAGGCTGTAGCCGAAGCCTACCACGCCGGCATGTGTAGCCGGGAGCGGCAGCGGGTGCAGCAGGCCTTCATGGACGGTCGGCTGCGGGTGGTGGTGGCCACGGTGGCCTTCGGGATGGGGCTGGACCGGCCAGACGTGCGGGCTGTGCTGCACCTGGGGCTGCCCACAAGCTTTGAGAGCTACGTACAGGCTGTGGGCCGGGCCGGGCGTGATGGCCAGCCAGCGCATTGCCACCTCTTCCTACAACCCCAGGTTCTTCCCTGCCCCGCTCGAACCCACCCCCAACCCCCCCACCACACACACCCAGCCACCCGTTCACAGCTGCCGTGTCGCAGGGCCAGGACCTGCAGGAGCTGCGGAGACACGTGCATGCCGACGCCACCGACTTTCTCGCCGTGAAGAAGCTGGTCCAGTGCTCGTTCCCACCCTGTACCTGCACCCGTGCCCATGCCCAACGCCCCCTGGAGCAGGATGGAGCCGAGAGCCAGGAGAGGCCTGTGGCCATGTCCCTGAGGGAGGCTGAGCAACCCAACATTGAGCGCACAGCCCGGTGCCCGGGCCACGAGCGGGCGCTCCCAGTGCAGCCGTTGGTGCAGGCCCTGGACATGCCTGAGGAGGGTGAGGAACTGGGGGTGGCGGTGGGCACGTCCCCACATGCCCATGTCCCCACGTCCCCTAAACCCGGCTCTGCCCCCCAGCCATCGAGACCCTGCTGTGCTACCTGGAGCTCCACCCACGGCGTTGGCTGGAGCTACTGACACCCACGTGCACCCGTTGTTGCCTGCGCTGCCCCGGGGGCCCCCCCCCAGCTCCAGGCCCTGGCCCACAGGTGAGCACATGTCCCGGCCTGGGCTGCGGCCAGGGACACGGAGCCAGGACTGCTCATCCCATGTCCCTTCCGCTGGTGCAGGTGTCCCCTCCTGGCCATGTGTTTGGCCCAGCAGCCAGCGCAGAACACAGGTGGGGGAAGCTGTTCTGTCGAGTTCGATGTGCTGCAGCTGGCCGGCTCAGTGGGCTGGAAGCTGGCCTCTGTACAGCAGGCTCTCCGTCAGCTGCAGTGGGAGCCAGAGCCCGGGACAGGTGCGCCCTGCCCCCAGCCCTCCTTGGCCCCAGCCCTGCTTGCCGCCCGCTCACCCGTGCGTGACAAGCTCTCTGGCAGGTGCACCTCGGGACACGGGGGTGCTGGTGGAGTTCCGGGAGCCTGCCTTCTGTCTGCGTAGTCCTGGAGACCTGACGGCCCACGAGAGGGACCAGATCTGTGACTTCCTGTACGGCCACATACAAGCCCGAGAGCAGGAGGCTCTGGCCCGCCTGCGCCACACTTTCCAGGCCTTTCACAGGTGCAGGAGGGGTGGGCGGGGCCTGGGGCCACCTCCACCCTTCCCTCAGGTGAGCAGCGCTGACAGATCACTCTCACTCCAGCGTCGCCTTCCCCAGCTGCGGGCCCTGCTTGGAGCAGCCTGATGAGGAGCGCAGCGCCAGGCTCAAGGCCCTGCTCAGCTGCTACTTCGAGGAAGAGGGTTCAGGGGGCACGGAAGACGAGCAGGGCCCAGAGCCAGGACAGGCCAGGGTGAGTGCTAGCCCCTCCTGGCCTGCAGTGAGGTCAGGCTGCAGGGCGCACACACGCTCACAGTCCACTACATGCCACCCATAGATCCAGGACTGGGAGGACCAGATTCGCCAGGACGTCCGCCACCTTCTGTCCTCGTGGCCAGACCAGCAGTTCTCAGGCAGGGCTGTGGCCCGTATCTTCCACGGCATTGGTGAGGGCCTAGGAGGTTGGGCTCTGATAACGGGCAGGGGCCGGGCATGGCCCAGAGTCCTCAGGGTCATGTGTCCCATTCCACCACAGGAAGCCCCCGCTACCCAGCGCAGGTGTATGGGCGGGACCGGCGCTTCTGGAGAAGATACCTGCATCTGAGCTTCCCTGCCCTGATGCACTTAGCCACAGAGGAGATCCTGCGGTGGGGCCACTGACCACCCTGCCATGGGCGGGCCCTGCTCCCCCACATCACGGACAGGCATGCACAGGGGGCCGCGTGGCCACAGTACGGAGGGAATCAGGCGTGGCATTGTGTCAGGGAAAAGGGACATCGATGGCCATGACAATGACTGACAACCCTGGGCAAAGCCCACCACCAGAAGTGTGGGGGCAAGGAAGCCCCAAAATGCAGAATAAAAAATGCTCAAAAGTCACTCTTAGGAACCCTCTTTTCTGAGGACAGCCTTGCTCATCACACACCCCAGACAGCCAGGCCATGGGCACGCTCAGCTTTATTAGGCTGGCCACTCAGCTCAGGCCAGGGTGCTGGGCGCCAGGCTCAGATACAGAATGGGCATGCCTGAGAGAGCAAGGAAGAGGGCAAAGCAGAGATGCGGCCCCAGGCTGTCAGCCAGGGCCCCGGCCAGCGTGCCCAGGAACAGCTTGCCCAGCAGCTCCAGAGTGGCCAGGAGGCTGTAGTGTGTGGCCTGCAGGGGCGAGGTGGGATGAGGTGTGAGATCAGGTGAGGGCTTGCTTGGATCCCAGCCCTGCAGCCCCCCTGGACATCCCAGCCGCACCCTCTTACCTGCAGGGCACTGGGCGCCAGCTGGCTACAGCGCATCATCAGGGTGAACGTGGTGGTTGTAACCAGGCCCCCCAGGAAGTGCTGCACACACAGGCTCAGCAAGGCTGCCCCTGGGAGGGCCAAGATCAGCGGAGCCCAGGACACTGGACTCCTCCCCTCCCGTGGCCAGACCCTCACCTCTTAGGACTGTGCTGGAGCCCAGCCTGACCCCCGGGGTGTCCAGGTGGAAGAGCAGGGTGGTCTGGCAAGCCAGACCCCCGAGCCGGAACCCAAGCACTGACCTCAGCAGGGGCACTGGTTGCCTGAGGTGGGGAGAGGGGACGGGTCAGGGGGGGTGTGCAGGTTGGGTGGGAGCAGGTGGGTGGAGCAGGCCAGGGAGGGCTCACCTGTGCCTGGCCAGCAGGGCTCCGCCCAGGGATGAGCCTACAATGGAGCAGAGCACAGCGCCCACACCGTTCCACAGCCCCAGCTCTGGCGTGGAGATGCCGTGGTCCAGCAGGAGCAGCGGAAACAAGCTGCTGGCACCCTGCTCACCTGTGGGGAGAATGTGAGCAGGGGCTCCCCACTTCCCTTCACCTGGGGCTTCAGGTACACTCCCCTAGCCAGGGCCCTGCCCTGCCTCCGTCCTGGGGCATCAGCCAAGCTTAGGGTCAGCATGAAGCAGCGTCAGAGACCCGAGGGGGTGCGGCTGGAGCTCACAGAAGCCGTGCAGCTAGAGCTGGAGAAGCTGCAGAGCCAGGCTGGGCTCCAGCCTGCAGTTAATCCCCCAGAAGGTGACCACAAAACGGGCTCCAGGGCCCCAGGCTCCCGCCCCTGCTGTTGCCTGGCTCACAGCCTCACTTACCCAATTTGTAAGTGAGCACAAAGCCTGCTGTCCACAGAGTACCGGGCATGGCCAGCAGGTGCTGCAGAAGGCACAGGCTGTGGAGGGCGGGTTCTGACGGCCCAGAGGAGGGCGGCTGTTGCAGGGCCGGCGCCGCCCAGACGAGCGCAGCAGCCAACCAATAGGTAGCTGCCAGGAGCAGGAAGAGCAGGGGCCAGGAGAGGGTAGGTACAAGGGCCAACAGGCCCCCTCCCGCCAGCACTGCCCCCAGCTTGTAAGCGACCACCTGCACTGTGTTACCAGGCCCTAGCTCAGCTGGCTCCAGGAGCTGGACGGCCAGCGTGTCCAGGGCCACATCCTGCACAGCCGCACCCAGGTTCAGCAACAGAAGCAGCCCCACTACAGTGACCGGCAGGCCTGCCGGGCCGGCTTCCGCGGGAGGCGAGGCTGCAAGCAGCCCGCACACCAGGCCCAGAGCAGCCGTGCTGAGCATCAGCCAGGCCCTCAGAGAGCCCCGCGTGTCCACCAGGGGGGCCCACAAGAGTTTAAACAGCCAGGGCAGGTACAGCACCTTGGCCAGTCCCACGCGCGTCAGGGAGAGGCCACGCGCCCGCAGCAGCACAGGCAGCAGGCCAGACTGCAGCCCATAGGGCAGGCCTTGCACCAGGTAGAGGCCGGCCAGCGGCAGCAGCTTCCCGTGCATGGCCGGGAACGCGGGGCGCCCGGGACCCGGCCCGCGACCGGGCGGGGACGGGGGCTGGGTTCAAGGCCGGACCAGAGCCTGGAGCCGGGGCAGAGCGGTTCCGGACGGGGTCTGGTCCCGTCACGAGGAGGTCAGGGGTCACACGACAGCATGGCTCCGGAGCTGGGCCACTCAGGTCAGGGTGGGACAGGCCGGCGCCCGCGGGTCCTGGGGGCGTGCGCACTACGCAGCCGCGGGACGCAGCGGCCACAGAGCACGCGAGCCGGCCAGAGCGCCGGCCGCCCTCGGGCGCCCCCAGTGGCCAGCCTGGGTGCGGCCGGGGAGCCGCGGGCATGGACGGCCGCTCGCCTAGCTGGGGTTGAGCCCGCGGCCCACCATGGACCTTCCCAAGGGTATCAGATCCGGCTCCCAGACCCCCCCCCCCCGGACCCACACCCTGACCCTGACTTGGTGTCTCACCTGGAGCCTCGCTGCTGCAGTGTCCACCGGGTCCTCCCAGCAGCCCCCAGGAAGGAGTCGGCCTCTTAAGTGCCCGTGCACTGCGGCCCTCGCCCAGCCCGGGGCCGCGGAGGGCCCTGAAAGCCACGTCTGTGTGAAAGGTCTCAGCCAGGGCGATGCAGCCCGCTGCTGCCGGGGCCGCCCTCTAGTGTCCAGGGACAAGGCCAGGAGAGGCAGGTGGGGCGGGCCCAAGCCCTGCCTCACTCCAGGGGGGGCTCTGTGGAGGGAGAGGCCTGTCCCAGGAGCAGCTGAATGTGGGGGTCTCATGCAGTCTCTCCTGCTCAGAGCTGCACCCCGCAGGGCTCGCGAGGCCCAGAGGGGGTAGTGAGTATGGCCCATGGGTAAGAACCACCTCCAGAGCGGACAGATCTAGAGCCTTAGTACTGTCTCCAAACCCTTGACCCCCTGAAGCCAACCCAACCCCTAGAGTAACAGCTGGTGAAGCCACCTCGAGTGGGTTTCCTATCACTTCGACAAGTTTCCTCGTCTGTAAAATGGGGACTACCACCCCTACCGAAGAAGACTGCAGTGACCCACAATCGAGTCTACCTTGCCCACAGTAGGCGCTCATCCCTCTTTCCGTGGCAAGGACATAGGGCTGCACACCCACCCCCCCAGCCTGGGTCTCCCCAGGGTGCCCCTTCGTCAGCATTTTACATGCTCTTCTCCCTGGCACCTGCCCTCGGGTGCTCCAGCGTTGGGAGGGCCGCCCCTCACTGCCTCCCAGTCCAAGGACTGCGTTTGCACTAGGATGTCACACACTTCAAACCCAATACAAACAAAGCAAGACCTATCTGTTCGTTCTCCGTCCCCACTCTTGGCACAGCTGTTCCTCCAGCAGCCTTGGGCAGCAGCACCGTGCCATCTGCCCATTTAGGAGGGAAACCAAGACTCCCTCTCTGAGTCCTCACTGCGACTCCACTCCCTGCTGCTCACCCACCCAGCCAGCGCCATCTCACAGCTCAGCGTGATCCCTGTGCTGCAGGGGAGAGGCCAACGGCACAGGAAGGGGAGCCAGGCCACCTGGCTCTGTGTCTTCCTCAGACTACTTTTTTGGATGTGGCCACCCCTGGGACTCAGCTCCTATGTTTCTTTGTCCAGCTTCATTCCCAACCTAGTGGCTTCCTTCACACCTCTTGCTCTTCCTAATTTTTATGTGACATTTGCCAGTGTCGGCCCCAAGACCAGAGACCACAGTGGAGACCCAGCCCGTGAGAGGTGCTGCATCTGCAGTAAGGTCACTTCCTCTGGGAACCCTCCTTGACCGCTCCTCCTGGAGGCTGACAAATGTCCTGCTGGGCTGGGTCTCCAGGCCTGCACAGAGCCCCAGCTCAGAAAGGAACTCATGAGTGGACAAAGGCAGGGGAGGCTCATACAGGTGTGCACACAGCCGGCTTCCATGTAGTCAGGCTGCTTCACAGCTTTATTAGGGGCCTGCAGAAAGGCAGGGGCCCAGCCCCACAGGCAGCAGGAACAAGTCCAGAGGGCTCCAGAGACCCCAGGGCCCTGGCCATGGTAAGTCCAGGGTTGGACGTGCCGGCCCAGCCTGGCCCGGAAGAGGGAGGGGAGGGGGCGCCTCAGGAGTACTCTCGGGTGAACTTGGCGTGGAACTGGCTCAGCTTCTCCAGCAGAGGCCGCAGCTTCTCCATGGGGGGCAGAATGGTCATCCTAAAACGGGGAGGGAGGTAAGCAAAGGTGTTGGGGGCTGCCAGGCTAAACCATGCGGGGCTGGGCCTCACCGAAAGTGGTAGGTGCCTTCCCTCTGACCGAAGCCACTCCCAGGCACCACGCAGATGCCGGTCTCCTCCAGAAGGCGCATGCAGAAGAACATGTCAGGAGCCAAGCCCAGCTCCTGGGGGCGGAAGGGCCGGGCCGGGCAGTCAGCACTGGGTGCCCAGATTTGGCGCCCGCGCCCACCCCCCGCCCCGCCCTCGGGCCTCGCTCGCCTGCCCTCACACCAGGCGCCAGTCGGCCCGGCCTACCTGAGCGCGCTGCACGGCGCGCGGGGGCAGCTGCACGCGAGGGAAGGAGTACATGGCGCCCTGCACCGGGTTGCAGCAAATGCCGGGAGCCTCGTTGAAAACCTGCTCCGTGAGCTTCGCCTTCGCCGCCAGCTCGGCCAGCACCACCTGCCTCTCCTGTGGCCGCGGAGGGAGGCTGATCAGACCTGGCGGCCCACGTCGCATGATCGAACCTCCGCCCCTCCCTGCCCCGCCCGCTCACCGCCTGGAACTGCGCGAAGGAGGGGTCGGAGGGCGCCGGTGGGCTGACCACCATGCTGAGCAGGACCTGGCCCGGCACAGGCGGGCACAGCCGCACACTCATCAGTTTCTGCATCTGTTGTTGTACGGCGGGGTCCATGTTCACCACCTCCACGTAGCCACCGCGGAACCCGCACCTGCCAGACAGGGAAGGCAGGTGTCAAGGCAGGGCGAGGGGGAGCCAAGCCAGGGGTGGAGTCCGCGAGACCCCGCCCGCTCAGCCCGCACGCACTCGCCCATGTAGCCCTTGGATACGGAGTGGAAGGAGGCGAGCTCCTGCTGCGTCACGTAAGGCGGCCCCATCTCCGCGAGCACCTTCTTGAACGAGTGGAACTGAGAGCCCTCCGCATACACGTTGTCCTGGTACACCTGGATGGGCGGACAGGCGTCACGGGGGGAGGGGGGGCGGGGGGCTGCCACTGCTGCCCTCCAACCCCAAGCCCCAGGTGAGCCTCTGCCAGCACCTCATCAGCCATCAGGAAGAGGCGCTCCTCGAAGGCAAAGCGAATCACGGCCTCGATGCACTCGCGGGCTTGCACCTGCCCTGGAGCGCGGAGGATGCAGCATTTCCAGGGTCAGACTCTTGGGCTCTGCGCTCTGCCCCCGAGAGGCAGCACGAGGAGGGGAGGCGGGGGGGGGGGGGGGGGGGGGGGGGGGTGGGGGGAGGGAGAAGCGGCAAGGCTGGGGGGATGGGTGGCGCACCAGTGGGGTTGCCAGGGTTGATAATGCAGAGTGCGCGTGGGCAGCAATAACCACGCGCCTGGCACAGGGCACGCCGCAGCTCGGCCACGTCGAGTGCCCAAGCCCGCTCCTCATCCAAGTAGTAGTCCACCTGCACAGCGTTGAGCTCGGCCAGCGCCGCTGAGTACAGCGGGTACTGAGGGATGGGGATGAGCACACCAGTGCGGGTGGGGCCCTCTCCGGCCACCAGCAACTTCAGCACTGTCTGTAGGGATGGGGAGGCAAGGTTGGTGGGGCCCACAGGGATTGCACCTGTTCCGCGCCCCGCCCGGAACCACAGTGCCAGGAGAAGCAAGGTCCGCCCAGCCGCACGGAAAGAGCCCCGGTGTCCTCCTGCCCCGGCCCTGGCCTACCACGATGGCGTCGCTGGCCCCAGTGGACAGGTAGATGTTGTTGGGGTCTGAGGGAATGCCTCCGTCGCGCCGCTCGATGTACCGAGCTACATCCTCCCGGATCAGCTGGATGCCGGAGCTGACGCTGTAGGCCCCTGGGCCAGGGGGTGAGGCAGGTCGGGGAGGAGAAGAGGACCCAGAGGTTCCTCAGCAAAATCCTCCCGAGTACCTCCGCCCCCTTCCAGCAGCCGAGTCCACCCCTTCCACGCGAGGGCCTCCTGCCTGCTCCTCTCTGGGGCTTTGGCCGGTCTGGGCACTGGCACTTACCCAGGCTGTGCCCCCCACACGCCTGCAAGATGCGCTCAGCCTTTCTCTTGGCATCCTCTGGGAAGTCGGGGCTGTTCAGGAGGTCAGGGTGGACGCAAAGAGCCAGGACCTGGGAGCACCGGACACTGAGCCAGAGCACATGGGCTGACTGGGGAGGAGCACAGAGCCATGCTGAGCCTCACCTGACGCAGGAAGGTGATGGGCTTCTGCCCCATGGCCTGTGCGTCCCCGATGTTGGCGCGGATGACCTCAGTGAAGGGCTTCTTTACCCCCTGGGAGGGAGGGGGCACAGGCAGTGAGAACGGGCCATCTATCACTCCGGCAGGTCCTTGTCCTGTGTGACTGTGGGAATGGGTCTGACTCAGCCGTCCAGGTGCAGCTGGAGGGCAGTGGCGGGGCCCAGGGCCATACCTGGCGCAGTTCCTGCTCCAGCTCCAGGGCACGCAGCACAATGGGACCACGTACTGCGTACTCCACCCTCCGAACACACGGGTTCATGGTGTCCAGCGTCAGCACCTTCTCCTTCAGCCCGTTCATTGCAACCTGGCTGTGGTCACCTGCCCTCAAGGCCATGACCCTACTCAGACCAGGCAGGAAGGTCAGGACACGGCAGGATTCAGAAGTGGGGATAAGGGAAGCTGGGTCCAGACTCAGTTGGCCGGGGCTGGGAAGAGGGAGCCTGGGTAGAGGGGCTCAAGGTAAAGGGCACCCTCTTCACTGCAGCCTGCTGGCCCCACTGAAAGGGACAGAAAAGGCTGAAGAAGAAGTCGGGGCCGCTGGGCCCCGCCCCACCGATCTGGGCACAGTTCTGCCCCAGGGAGCCATAGGGAGTGCATGAGGAGGCAGGCGGGGCTTGGGGCAAGGCCCAGTGCCCGCCCAGTGTCCCCATGACCGGGGAGCAGGAGACCTGCATGGGGGGTAGGGACAGACAGAAGGTTCAAGAAGCTCTGAGGGCCTGGGCCTGGGGGAGGGGGAGGTACGCTGCATGCCCGGAGGGGTTGGCAAAGCTGGGCAGAGCTAAACCCCCAGGGGAAATGGAGCTGGGGCCCCTGGAGATTTACCCCAGCAGGGCTCTGCCAAGGCCTAGCCCTCTCAGGCCCCCCATCTTTGCTTGGGCCGGCAGGCCTGTCTCCCAGGTAACTGAGTCAGGCCTCTATAGAATTCTGGCGTTACTGGGGGAGGGGAGCGAAAGCTCAGATGCGGGGTTCCATCTGGCCAGCCCCTCCTGGGCTGGCAACCATGGCCCACAGGCTGCAGGAGCCCTGCGGTTGGACCTTGGCCCCAGACCAGCAATTGGTGGAGGCCGGAGTCTCTGGGTTGGGATGTTGTGTGCCAGGGTAGGGCGGCTCTGGGCCCTCGGACACCTTGGCTGCTCTGGGCTGCCGTTGTGCCCTTTCACCGTGCGCCAGCCTGGAGCTGCCCTTGGGGCCACACCACAGGCAGGGTGACCTAAGCTCCCCTCCCGTTGCTCCTGATTGGTAGAGATAGTGGGAAGGGAGCTGTGATAGGCCCTTGGAGCCCCACCTCCCCAGGCCCCTAAGGGAGCTGATAGGCCATGCCCAGGGGTGGCTACCCCAGCTGCTGACATCTGAGTCTGAGCGGAAGGTCAAGGAGCCAGCCCTCAGAGAGGCTGTGGGCAGCTGGTCAGGCCTGAGGGTGGCCGATGCCACGCCCAGGCCAGAGCACAAGTTTATATGGTCCCAGCCCCAGGCAGAGCCAGCCCCCTCCCACCCCTGGCAGCAAGGCCCAAGTGTGTTAGCAGGTGGACCTTGGCAACTGCACTGCCCCACACACTAAATTTAACCTGCAGCCCATCCCCTGGCCCTCCCCAGCCCTGCTGAGAACACCCCTCCAACCAATGATGCTCAGGAAAGGGTGGGCCCTGCAGACACGGGGCTGACTGGGTCAGTACCCACCGGGGAGGGGAAGGTGACCAGCACTGGTGGCCATGCAGAGCTGCCCACCATGGACAAATGAGCTAGCAGTGCCCTCAGCCCTCCCACTCGAGGCCCCTAAGGGGCCCCTGTCACCCTGACACATTGTGCCCAGCCGGCTCAGAATCTGGGCGGCCAACCGCTGGCCCCCTTTGCCAGCCCAGTTGGAGGCTGGCAGCCAGGCCCCAGAACCAGGGCTACATGCCAGGAACAGGGGACTCATCCCCCAGGGAGGTTCCTGACTCCAGCCTTGTACAGATTCTACCCTCTGCGGCTCAAGAGTCTTGTGGAAAGCCCCCTCCCCTTCCAAGCCAGGATCCCTGCCCCTCTGGCATGGATACCCCCAGCCCTGATCCCCAAGGAATGTCCTTCCAGAGCTCCCGGCTCCTCCCAGGAAAGGAAAGAGTTACAGAGGAGCCTCCAGGAGGCTGGGAAGGCAGGGAGGCAGGCTGCAGCACAGGCCAGGCTTCTTGCCCAGCGGCAGGGGGCCTCACTCCCACGCAGGGCCAGGCAGCCACAAGCAAGCACCTACAGGCCCCCGAACAGGGACAGGCACATCCAGAAGCAGCAACACAACAGCTCCCCACTCTCAGGAGAGTGGCCCTGCTGACACACACAACAAGGCAGGTGGCAGAACAGCCCTTTATCAAGAGTCATACGATGAAACTAGGTCTCTGCAGCCAGGTAACCCCCAGGAGGGCCTCCGCCAGAGGTTCATCCCTGAGCAAGGAAGCTGGCACCCTCGGATGGGGGGAACGGGGGAGGCCCTGCACGGGCTATCCCCCAGCAGCAGCACCAGGGCACACACCGGGGTCTCCAGAGCAGGGGCCCCGTGGCAGCCTGCAGTGGGGCCTGACAACAGGACTCTGTGACTCTGGGTGCCAGCCCCTCACATGAGCAGGCAGCAGGGCCTCTTCTCCATGGGGGCCTCTTCTGAGGGTGCTGTGAGCTTCAGTAGGGGCGGATCTCCACCAGCCGTGGAGCTGCACTCTGGCTGGGGGTTCTCGGCGTCCGCAGGCAAGCCAGGCTCAGGGGCCTCACGTCCTTCAGGCAGGGGACGCTGCAGCTTAGCAGCAGCTCGTTGGCGTTTCAGCTCCGCCAGCGTGTGGTGGGCCTTGGCCCGGACCAGGGCATCGGGGGTGCTGCTCTCCAGGGGGCTCAGCTGGTAGGAGACGCTCCGGTCCAGCCGCTTGGAGTACAGGTGCCGCCCTGGGGTGCCTCCAACTAGGCCATTGTGCGGCCTGGCCAACTCGGGGTCGTCCTCCTGCTGGGGAAGCATGGGCCTCAGAGGCCTTCAGGAAGGCCTTCTCTGGCCTCCCTTGGCCGCCGTGGGCCCCAGGCTGCGTGGGAGTCAGGGGGCAGAAATGAGCGTGCTGCACTGGGCCCAGGGTCCCAGGGCCCCACGGACTCCTAGGGCGGCTGTGGTGGGAGAAACGAGGCACCGAGGTCAGGCCACACACCTGCACCACACACAGAGGGTAGCGCCCAGGCCCACAGCCACCACGCTGGAGGTGGACGGCGGGGCCTCACCTCGTTGGGCACGGGTCGCAGCTCCGCGTCCGTCTGGCCATCCTCGTCCTCCTCGGGCGCCTCTGGGCTAGTGGGCGGTGGCTGCTGCCACACAATGGCCTCCTGGGCATGCTCCCTGCGGTACAGGCTGGTGCGCTGGGTCAGGCTCACCCTCCTCACCACCTTCCTGCAGGAGGGCACGGTGAGGGTGGGGGAAGGGGGCCACTCGCCCTGCGGACTCTGCAGCCACGTCAGCAGGGGCAAGGGCTGGGCAGAGTGGGGGGAGGTGGGGGTGTGGGCGGGCTGCCTGCCGGCCAGGGCGAAACACTGGGGTCAACCACAGGCGCTTACCCCCGACTGCCCGCGCTCGAGGTGCGGCGGCGCAGCAGAGAGCGCCGGCGGCCCTGGGCGCGCAGGAGCGCGTCATGCTTGTGCTTCAGCTCCAGCAACTTGGTCCGCACCTCTTCGTCCCCGCACACGTCTAGGAGAAGTGGGCGGAGGGTCACTGGTGCCCCCTCTCACTCACCCTCTACACTAGCAGAGGCGGCCCCAGCTCACCGAGAGGCGTCTCGTCCATCAGAGACTTCCCATTCAGGTCGGCCCCGTGTGCCACGAGCAGCTCCACCAGATGCACCTGAGGGCCAGCGAGCCCGGGCTGCTGAAGGGCCTGGAGCCAGGAGCCAGGACAGCCCCCGCCCCCGCCCCCCGCCGGGCCAGCTGCCCCCACCCCACACTCACCTGGCCCCAGTAGGCTGCGGCGTGCAGCGGCTCCCAGCCGTCCTGGTCCTTGGCGCTCAGGCTGGCCCGGTGCTCCAGCAGCAGGGCAGCTGCCTCGCCAAATCCATTGGCAGCTGCGATGTGTAGCTACAGGCAAAGTGCTCAGCCCTGAGTCCCTGCCGTGCCCCTCCAGCAGCAACCTCCCCACCTGCACCTCCCATGGCCCCATCCTCACCAGCGTGGCCCCGTGGTCCTGGGGGACATCGATGTCGGCTCCCGCCTGCAGCAGGCTGCGGATGTCGTCCAGCATGCACAGCTCCGGCAACGCCCGGGCCCCCTCAATGCGGTCCTGGGTGACGCCTGAAGGGCAGCAAGCTCAGCTGGTGCCCCAGGCACCCCGCGTGGGCGAGTGGGGTCCCACTCACCGCTGCTGGCCATGGCTGTCTCCAGGCAGTCCAGCGTCTGCTCATCCTCACAGAGGTCATAAGGCATGTTTCCATCAGTGTTGACGGCCAGGAGGTCAGCACCACTGCAAGAAGAATGGACAGGGGCTTTGGCCACAGAGCCTTTCTCCCCCATGGAGGCCTCTAGTCTACCCTCTGCGGAGGCCCTCAGCCTGGGGCTGCTCTCCAGGACCGTGTGGGTCAAAGATGGAGGAGGCCCAGGCCCCTGATGCCCCTCAGCTCTGGATCGTGCCCTCAAACCAGTTAGGCCACCCCCCAGTCTCCACCCGTGTCTGAGCTCCAGGTCCCACACCCATGTGCCCCTGTCAACCCACACAGTGGGCCCACCAGCCAGGAGGGGGTGCCAGGACTCTAGGAGCCTCAGGGAGCAAAAAGTAGAGGGAGGAGGAGAGCCTAGATGCCAGGAGAAAGCTGCAGGGAACAAGGCTCAAGCAGAGGCACAGCCAGGGGGAGGACAGGGAGCTGCAGGGGAGCGCAGAACACAAAGGTGGGTGCCCACTCTTCGGCGTGTGTGTGTGAAGGGAAGACACTGCCAACCACCCACACACCATCAGCACCTAGACCACGCCAAGGAGAGCCTGCGCCCCTGACCATCTGTTCTGCGGTGGGGGTCAGAGTTGAGGGGCCGTGGCAGTGGGGGAAATCCTGGACCCTGGTAAAGCCAACCACCCCTCCCGTTCACCAAGAAGCCCTACCCTGCTCCACCCTCCTTGTCAAAGGCCCCATCCATGTCCAGGAGCCCCCTCCATCTCTGCCAGTGCTGCCTTCATCACTCTGTCCAGAAGGGCATGTCTCTGTCAGACCCCAGGGAGACCAGAGCTAGAGGCCAAGGCCCACCCTCGAGGAGTTCCCAAACTCTTAAGGGGGCTTGGCAGGAGGATGCGCCCAGGAGAACCACCACACTTCCCCGAGTACATGCTTGTTCCCTTGTGTCTGCAGCCTCTGCCCAGGCCCTGATCTCCATGCCAGGGTGAAGTCAGGATAAG